CTAAAAGCTGTTTATGAGGTTAAGGGAGATTCCGAATACAAGTTAAATTTTGGTAAAGGTGGACTTGTGGCTGTGCTACTTTATGACAATAAAACAGCCCTAATAAAGGCCAAAATCATTCAATGGAAATGGATGCTATTCTCTAGTCAGCTCAACATCAAACAATAGCAAATAACAAACTTGATAGCCATGTAGAGGCTATGGATCCTACTCGAAAACATGGAAGAACACATTACAAACAAAGATCTATCCCATCAGTGGCGGTGGCGCATAGTGTGGGTTCATGTTCGCGCCTGGACCGCCATAGTCGCTGATCTCTCTAAGGGGAGGGGGCGCGCCGTAGTGTGGGTTCCTGTTTGCCCCTGGGCCGTCATAGTCGCTGGTGTGGACCTCTCCAAGGAGCTTCCTGCCGTTGAGAGCCTGGAAGAAAAAAGAGCGAGACAGAGAGAGAAGAAGAAGAAGAAGAAGAAGAAAAGAACTGAAAGTTAACAACAGAAAATGTGAAACGTAGGAGAAGATTATCAACCTGGCCCTGTGAGGCCAGCAAGCTCGCATCTGCAAACCAACTCAAAACAGTAAGAAACGAGTTCTGAATGAGTTACATGAGTTCTGAATGAGTTACAAGAAGTTTGGGCAGAGAGATCTGGTGGCTTGGACCGCGATGAACGACGCTTATGCCCAGTGCGGGCTATGCAAAGAGGCATTTGCGACTTACTAGAGGATGCCTTGACAGATTTACGTACACTCCTGAGTATTCATGCTTGTCTCGTGAGGGATGGAATCAAATGGGACGTCGTCATTGGTCGCTGTGGAAATCCCAGGCAGTGTCATGTTCGGCATAAGCACAGGCATGATCAACACAATCAGCATGGAGTTTCTGTGCTCTCAGGGACCATCTTGTCAATTAGTTGTTCTTTGGAAGTCAAGGGAGAATGAGGAGGTGTTTGCTCTATAGCTTCGACTTGGTGTTTTGGAACGCCATGGGTTGGGCTTGCCGAGACAGCCATGCCGTTCTAACTGCGTGTGCTACCAGTTGCCAGCATGCGCTGCTTCAAACGAACGAACTCCATGATCGAGCGGCCAGTTTGGATCCAGTTGTGGTACTCCAAGCCTCAGAGGCTCGGCCTTGGATGGGCAAACGAGATGCAGTGGTGCAAAGCTCCTAAACGTTAGTTTCTATCCTTGTGCACCTCGTAACGGGCAAAAATCCAGGGGATCTGTCTAGCATCCTTGCGATCAATTCGTTGCCATCGATCTTTCCTGATCGAGTGTTTTTCTGTCTGCAGAGATGCTGAATTTTACAAGGAAATAGGAAAAAATAAATAAATTTGAAACTTGCGCAGCTTGATCGAACCATCAAAGACACAAGGCCATGCTTGGATTCTAGAGATCCTCTTCAAGATGTACTTGCGATGATCGGGGAGAGAGGCTTTGTGGAGAATATATTTCTGGATGAGGCTCGAGAAAGAAATTGCCAAGGATAAGGTTCTACAGGAAAAAAAAAGCTGATCAATGCTCACATTTGTGTCATATCTCTTTTTTTTTGTGTTTTTACTTGCGTTTCAGAGAAGTGCAGGTATGAATCCTTCTCACACACAAACATCTCAGTGTGATATTATCCTCAAAGAAAGATATGAGGCCGTGATAATCATGGGCAGATCGGCCGACTGCCTCATGAGAACACAACACGCTTGCGTTTTTCCTGGAGGGGAGATCGTGCACGTAAACATCACAGAGCGAGGACCTAGCTCAACCCGAACAGAAACGTTAACTGTGGAAAACCGGCAGGAATCTTGTCGACCTTCGTATCAAAATTGTTGACCATGTGGCATAGGGCGTCGTCCAAATATCCAGAATACCCAACCGAGGCAAATGCCTCATTGCAACACACGCATTTCTTCTCTGGTGCCAAATCCGGATATGGCCTCTTTCACAACACCAGCATCGGCAAAAACACCAAGCATTGTCGCCCAATTCGTCCAGTTTCGGGCTCATGCCTTTTCTTTCTGTGAGCAATTCTTTCCCCAGGACATTTCCGCACTTGTTGCGTTTGCCAACAGCCACGATAAAACTCAGTTCCTACACATTCCCGCAGGCATGTCAATGTTAGCAGCAGAATGGGTTTCTACGCGGAAGGAAGTGGATCCCTCCCGCGTAAAGCACATAAAGTCGGCGGTGGAAGCGAGGGTTTAGGTTGGATTGTAAGTTGTTGTTCTTAAACAGATATAAGAATACGCGTACGCGTCAAAGCCTTTTTATGCAAAGAAAACGTAAACCATTAAAATTAACAAAAGGCTGTACTCCAATCTGCGACCTCGCCAATATATTTTATTTACCACATCTCGTTTAGTTTTGTTTGAATGTATGTTGTGGCGCGCTGTTTCCTACGCGTTAGAAGCCCCACTGCCAATGCAAGACAGTGGCTTTCCATGGATGATGGATGCCATGGACTCTTTGCTCGATCCGGATGCTTAAAGACTCGCAATCCTGCCTCGATCTGCCATGGCCTCCCACCACTGCTGCATCATCGCCTCCATAGCCATGGCGAATCTAGGAAATGATCCTTACCCAATTAGCTCCTTGCCAGAGGCGCCATTCTGGATTTCAATCCCCGAGCGATTGAGTTGGCGGAGAAAGAGATCCGGCCAACCCAGCCTCGACCTCCCAGGGTCAGGGATGAGCAATCGAGAGCTTGAGGCTTCCATCTTCTACGATGCATGATAGTTAGTCGCATGGAAAGTAAGAAAAGCACAGATCTCTGGGCGAGGGCAAGCGCATTGACGAGAAAATCGTCTCCTGCGGTCTCGATCGTCATAGCTTCCTCACGAACCTCGTCATGGAAATGTATGGAAAGTACTGGCGCGGGAGATACGTCTTGGGAATCTTCCACAAGACGGAAGATGGAGATGTTTTCTTTGCGGCATTTGCCCAAAACGGGTAAGTTCTGGCGTTCTCCCGGCAAATGCCTCTCGATCTAATTCCGTCACATTCTTGCAGCTACTCCCGATGCAAGCTCTCGTCTTCCAGGAGATTGAATTCAAGGACGCCAGCTCCTCGAAGGGATCAAGCCCAACCACATCTCCTTTTTCACGGACGAGCTAAGACTTATCAAAACTGTTCATAAACCGATTAAACAAAACTTTAAGTTGGGTCTCTGTGCCACCAAATTCCTTTAGATAGCCGGCTAACAGGTTATGGGAGATTAGGTCACGAACGCCTATGATGCTGATCTACCAGCATCAACCATTCTCTCGTGAGCAGCTGAACTATCAAAACGGAAGGTTGACCCTGGATTGGGAGCTTTTCGAGCCCACAAGTATGCTGGCTGCATTGTAGTGAAGTTCGTTTCAATTTCTGAAAACCATTGGACTTCACAAACTTCTAATGCGGTGAGCGTGGATGGAACACGCGGCCTTAAGATCTTCAGTCTGACGCTCTCCCAACTGGGCTATCCCCGCGTGATAATAATTACCAGCAATATTATCTGGCACATATCACATTACAAGTGTCATGAAATTATTGAGCGCTCAAGAGGAGTGAGATCGTAGAAATGCCACTATAGCTGATATGCTGGCTCAAAACTCACAAGGATCACAGCAAGATTCTTCCAGCGATCGGCTTTTTTGCTGAAACATGGATGCCTCCCGGGCAATCTATTGTCTAGCAGTGACTCAACAGCAAACAACAGAAAACAACAAACGTGATAGCCGTGTAGAGGGTATAGCTCCTACACGAAAACATGGAAGAACACACAGAAACAAAGATCTATCCCATCAGCGGCGGGGGCGCGTAGTGTCGGTTCATGTTCGCGCCTGGACCGCCATAGTCGCTGATCTCTCCAAGGGGCGGGGGCGCGCCGTAGTGTGGGTTCCTGTTTGCCCCTGGAGCGTCATAGTCGCTGGTATGGACCTCTCCAAGGAGCTTCCTGCCTTTGAGAGCCTGGAAGAAAGAGAGAGAACTTCTTATAACATGAAAGGAAAAGGAAACGTAGAAGAAGATTTCTCAACCTGGCCCTGTGCAGCCGGCAAGCTTGCATCTGCAAATCCAATTCAAAACAGTGAGAAACGAGATTGTGGAGGAAGGTAACAGAGAAATGAGATCTATATGTGCTCCCTCTACCTTTGTTTCCGCTAGTAGCAAAAGCGGCAGTGATGAGCAGGCATGAGAGCAGGGCTGCGAGCACAAGCTTGCGAGAAGGAGCCATTTCTATACTAAGAGAGCCTATAGATCCAAACCAGGAGAGAAAGAATGAGAAAAACAAAGGCCAAGCTCCCGTAGATAAAGGCTGAGGAGTACAGACTCACACAAAAGCTGGCACAGACGTCGAAGGAATGCAAGTGTTGTCGGCCAAGAGTTAACGTCGATAACCATGGTTCTATTAGTGCATTGGAACAATCAAAATTGCCCCTCATCTCCAACAATATGAGTGTATGGAATATAGAAATTAAATACCAAAATGTGCATATTAATTAGCCCAAAAACCCAGTTTTTCTATGTTAATGGGAATTAACATATTTTATCAGGAGAGAGAGATCTCGACTAATATATAGCGATCATTAGATGTTGGAAGCATCGAGCAACATCGTGGGATCGCAGCAATCCTTCTTTGCGACGCTCCTGAGCCAGTCTGGAGGCTCTGGCGATCTCGATCAAACCCGGAAGATCCACTCCCGGATACTGGACAGTGGCTACTCCAAAGACAAGTTTCTCCTCAATCTCATCATCCAGGCTTACGGAAAATGCGGCAGTGTCAGAGATGCGCGCCGTGTCTTCTCCGCGATCGATCACCCCAATCTCTTCTCATGGAACATCATGATCCAAGCATATGCCCGAAACGGGCATCTAGATGAGGCGCGTAACCTCTTTGATCGATCTCATTCCCCCGATCCAGTCGCATGGAATGAAATGATCACTGCCTATGCTCAGCTTGGCGAGAGATGGAGGAAGCCAAACGATTGTTTGATCGAGTGCCAGAAAAGAGTGAAATCACCTGGACCGGGATGATAACAGCATATGCCAGAAACGGGCATCTGAACGAAGCCAGGGCGGTGTTTGACGCAATGCCGATCGAGAAGAAAAGCATAGCTTCGTGGACGGCAATGCTCCAGGGCTACACCCAAAACTCCCGGATCGATCAGGCCCTCGATTTCTTTCAGACGTTCCCGGCCCACAACGTGGTGTCCATCACCGCCATGGTGTCGGCGCTCGCGAGCCACGGCCGTGGCGACGAGGCCGAGATGCTGTTCTTATCCATGCCCGCGAGAAATTTGCTCTCCTGGACTGTGATGATCCAGGCCTACTCCAAGCAGCAGCGCATCGATCGCGTCCGCGAGCTCTTTAAGTCGATGCCCGAGAGGGATCTCATAAGCTCCACGGCGGCGCTCCAGGCATTCTCCCGCGGTGGCGATCTCGACTCTGCCAAGCGCGTGTTTGATTCCATGCCCGAGCACAACACCATGTCGTGGGGATCAATGGTGGTGGCGCTCGCGGAGCGGCGGCGGCTCGAGGAGGCGGCGCTGCTCCTGGAAGCTATGCCTGGCGAGAAGAGCGTGGTGGGGGCAACAGCGCTATTCCAGGCGTATGCCCGGGATGGGCATCTATGCGAGGCTGAGATGATCTTCCGCGAGATGGGTGATCGCGACACCATCGCCCATAATGCGATGCTCCAGGTCTACGCGCAGCACGGCCAGATGGGCGACGCCATTGCGGAGTTTCAATCCATGGCGTGGCGAAGCTCCTCGTCATGGAACGCGATGCTCTCGGCGTATGCCCAGCACGGGCATGTGGATCACGCGGCGGGTTTCTTCGCGGCTATGCCAATCAGGAGCTCTCCCGTGGCGTGGAACGCCATGATCGCGGCGTATAGACGCAACGGCAAGGACGAACGGGCGATTTCCTCCTTCTGGGCGATGATCCTCGAGGGGATCCCGTGCGATGCGTCGACCATCGCGAGCGTTCTTGGGAGCTGCAGTCACGCGGGGAGATTTGCCGAGGCGTGGAACTTGTTCCTGGCAATGAAGAAGGACTTTGGCGTGGATCCATCACACGAGCACTACTCGTGTGTGGCGGACGTTCTCGGGAGATCTGGACTGGTGAGAGACGCCGAGGAGCTCATCAAGACAATGCCATTCGTTCCAGATGAGCGTGGCTGCGGTGGATTGCTCAATGCTTGTAGAGTTCATAGGGATTTGGAGAGAGGAGCAAAGGTGGCGATGAATGAGTTTAAAAGTGAGAGGAGCGAGCCTGTAAGTTACATGCTTCTTGCAAACTTGGTTACTGCTAAGATACCAAGTTTGGCTTCTGATTCAAAATAGCTCTTTGTTTCGTTTAGCTTCTGCAAGAGACTAGAACGCAACTCCAGCGATTGCCATCGTCGTGCCTACAGCAGTTTGTCTTGTAATTCGACTTCCTAGGTAGAGACAGACAAAGAAACTCACTTGTATCATCAATCTGATCACTGGAAAGCTTTCCAAAACAAGTATAAAAAATACGATGACTACGACTCGCTTTAGTACATTTCCTACTTCGTGTGACAAAGGTGCTACTCGTTCCAGAGTGTTGTTGCCAACCTGTTAGAAGATAAAAGAATCCCAACGAGAAAGCACAAATCTGATCAGACAGATGATAGAAAACTCTGACCACAACTAGATCTGCTACGAACTTTCGAATGCAACTGGGGAAGCAAGCCCGTGCTTGACAAGGCTTGGACCTTCTATCCGTGGATAAAAAGCATTGATCCACTAAAAGCTTGTGGATTAAATGAATGCTACTTGGTAGTATGCACATGTAGAGCGATCAAAGATATGTAAACGTAGAAGATTAGTGCTGTGTTTCCTGGACAGAAAAAAAAAAACAAAGAGCTTCATCAGATATGAATATGTTAAAAAATACCATAGCCTCCTTGGAAACAGTGTTTCAGGGCATTAGATGTCATGGCACGTGAGAATTGAAACCTCTGTATGCGATGCAATGCTAGAGCAACACCTGAAAGACCAAGCTTGAGAACACAAGAGATTTACAACTTTAGAGCATATGTTTACCAGCAACTACAGGTATCAAGCTAAGCCAGAGGGCAAAAGGAACTGATTGTCCTAGAAGAAACTATGATGTAGATTGCTCCAGCGCTGCCAAAAACTTGAAAATCCTATCAATCTTCACGAACTAAAAGCAAAACCACAAAACCTTTGACCGTATGTCAAGGAAACAGCGACAGTGGAAGAGATGGTCATGATGTGTTCCAGGGCGTAACAAAACGAAAGTGGCAGAAGCAATCTCATCAGTTCCTTGCTCAATGGCTGGAACCAATAAAATCAGGAACAATGTATAGATAGTCTACGTTTTGGCATTTCAGATGCCCAGCAGCCTCAGCATGTAACTATAGGAAGAGCGACCCGGTTGTCAGCATTGGGTATTTGCTCGACACACCACTGGAGGAGCTAAGATCTTCTAAAGAATATGCATCCACATTACCTGTTGTGATCCTGTTAATCCAGGGGAAGCATCTGAGACGTTATCCATTTGGGCGGTAATTTGAATATAAATGTTTTAGATGCTGCAACTCCTTGTGACAAGAGGTTGAGAGCAAGTATGTTAACGATATGAGACTTATATTATTATTTGCTGAGTTGTGCTGATGCTTGACGCTAATGTATTTTAATGTAATTTATGTTTTTTTGTATAATTTTTTATTTCTATTTGTTGGGTATATCCTTCTTTTTCCATGAGTTCTTTTAATCCTTTTTTGACTGTAATCAATATTGAAGTCTCCTGAATATCCTAAATTATTTGGTACATGTCTTTGTAATTGATTTTCAAATTATTTTATGTTTTTGTTCTTGGTTTTCGGTGCATATTTGCAATTTATATATTCATCTTATTCTAGTTAATCTTGATGTGTTTGTATTTTTTGGATTGGTGTGTATTCTTTATAATATTATTTGCAATATACAGTGGCTGATTATGAATTGTAAAATATAATTGCAGTGTTGTACAAGCTTCTTATATGCATGATGTATTTATAGAATCTATCAAGACAAAAACCTTCAATAATCATATCCATTCAAGCACTGGACAAAGACATAACTTTCCCTATTACATTCTCTAATGACATGACTTGGTGATGGGTGGTGGCATTGGCTTTTTCTATTCATTTTAACAATATATTCTTGCCACAAATAGGGATCACTGGCACCAATATGGTGAAATTCTTGCAGCTGCCCCAGACAGATTTCAAAAAAGTATGGAATGATTTTGGTCAAAACTTCTATTTGTTCTTCTTGATTCTAAGTGGCAAGCCTTTCTTGAATTCAAGGAATTTCTTGCTACGATGCAAGTGTGGAGAATTTTAAATCTTATGTCATTGTAAATGTGCTGTTGTGTTGTCTTAAGTTTTTATTTGGTTATCTACCAACCTCTACTGGGGGCAGATCATGTCCACAAGCCTGGGGAAATGAGATTCCCAATGGAGAGTACGGTAGGACCAACACTTCTGGCAATTATTGCAGGATTGGAGCAAGAGAGGGGTTACAAGGAATTTAACTTAAATACACTAATCAAAACCAGTCATAGTAGAGACATCACCAGTTAAATATAGGACAATTCAGATCATGTTAAGATCTACAACTTTGATTTAACTAATATCAACAATCTATATTTTACTTCAAGATGGTAGGTCTTTCCTCGTGTTCTTGCTTGGATTTGTAAAACAAGATTATGCTTATCAGGAAGAAAATATTGGAAAGAGGAGTGAGGAGAATTTAGAGTTACTTACCTTCTATGTAGTGTAAGAGATCTCCTAAGGTTTTTATGGCACAATAACATGTTTGTGGTCTTGGCTATAAGCAACAGGAAATTAAAGATTGGTCTGTAAGCAACTAAACTTTTTATTTTACTTTAATCATTTTGGGTATTTACTAGTGTTTAGATGTGTTTTCATAACCACACCAACTTCACACTTACTTTACATGTTTAGTCCCACTTCAGACACCTAAAAGTACTATTAATGTACCAACCTCTTATGCTAAGGTTATATCTTTTTTTGTGATCTCAATGGTAATCCAAGATCACATGTATCACAATCCCATCTTTCCAAGATTAAATCATCCATCCATGAGTAGTCATCCCATGACCACACTTTAGCATCTTTAAAATACTTTAAGATATAAGGAACACCATCCCCCAATTCCTTTTTTTAATTTCCATTAAATCCCTTTTTGTCCATGGTAATGTTCACAAATACCACCACTAAACTAAAGCCCAAATGCCCATCCACTAAATTCTACTAACCTCTAGAACATCTTCACTATATAACTATACCTTTAATCACTAAGGAAGAGGACCACTCCTCTTCCTTTTTATGGTCCAAAAATTGGTTTGAGATAGAACCTAATATAAAGCTTGAGATGGGAGTTTAAGATCAAGTTCGAGATAAAGTCCAAAATTAGGTCCAAGATTGAGTTTGAGATTGAGTTTGATTTTGACTTTAAGCCCGAGACTGAGTTTGAGTCAATCTGAGACCAAATCTAAGACTAAATCCAAGACTCAATCTAAGTTTGAGTCTAAGATTAATCTAAGGGTGAAAGCCCAAAGTAGTCTTCTCCCAAACCCTAAGAGGTTTGGTAAATCCTTGTAAGATGGAAGAAAACCACACTCACATGATGGATGATAATATAACTAGTGGGGAGTCTAATGCTAAAGTGAACATAGATGGATATATGAAGTGATTTAATGGTGTTTAGCAAATACAATAAGCTATCATTGATGATATTGAGGGATTAGTCTTAATACATAGGGGTTCTTGTTATTAACTAGTGCAAAACATAATGAGATGAGAACTCTTTACTAGGCTAAGTATTTGTATAACATATATTCATATTCTAGATGCAAATTGGCAGAAGCTGGATCCTAGGAGCTAAAATACCATCTTCATGGGCTATCATGCTCATTCTAAGACTTACCACCTTCATGATCTTGCTCTCAAAAAGCTCATGGTTACTTAAGATGTTTCTTTCAATGAGCAAGAACTCTATCACCATATTCAAAGTATTAACTTCCTCCAGTTCTAATGTGGTGGACTTGTCCCTCGTCCTGGATGAGGAGCTCATCCAACCTCCAGCACAAGCAGTTCAAAGTTAGCTTGTTCCAAGAGGAGCAACACCTCCTCCACTTGGCAGTGGCATGACTTCCCCACCAACTTTGCTGCTAGTCATGATTGGAGGCTCTTCTAGCTTGCCTCCTCTAGATCCTCTCTTGACACCACCACCTCATCAAGAGATTAAGGCTGTTACACATTCAAGAC